AATTCAATGAAAACAAATCTTTGTTTCCATTTCTTGTGGCTAGGGGGGAGACCGGTTAAAAAACCCCTAGAGTTGGCACGGGAATGGAAGTAAACAAAGCCCGGGCAGTTACTAGTCCCGGGCAAGACATCATACATATGAAGGAAGAGATCAAGGGAAGGTTTGATGTTCAGAGATTCACAAATATTTACAAAACAATTCAAAAACCGGTGAGCATTTGGAGTAAGCTGGCCGGGCAAAAGATTGAACTTATTACAGATTTCTACGAGGAGGGGGCGAAGGGGAATGATAATGCCCCCCTCTAGCGAAGCAATGTGAAAAACCAACCGGTTTCCCTGGTGGGGTTCTACGATGTTGGGCTAGGTGGTGTTAGAGAGGAGTTTATAGCCTGGTGGGAGGACGGAATCGACTTCAGCCAGGACCTTTTTGGTTACCCTAGAGGACTCCTTGAAGACCGGTCCGGAGTCAAGGGCAAGGTAGCCCAGCGATCCCAATCGCTCTTCCCACTGGTCCCAACTGAGGACCTTGGGATTGAAGCGACCGGGCATTTGGTTCAGAGGGACAGGCTCCTGGGCAACTATTTCCCGGGCCTGAGAGCTAGATTAGTGAGAGGGACGGCGAATCAAAGGAGTGACAGGGGGAGAAGAAGATTCAGAGGGGGAAGAGGAAGAGGGCTGAGAGCCTGATCCATAGGATTGGCCAGATATGTTTTGGCTATCCGAAGACATGACTTCAGCCTACCGGTCAAAAATGGAAAGATGGAAAAATTAAGACTAGGAGGACTGGAGGACTTACTTGGCGAAGAGCTAGAGAGAGAAAGCTGACCGGTGGAAGTTGGGAGAGCGGAGAGAAGAAGTGAAGAAATGAGATGGGTTGGAGGAGTATTTATAGGAGAGAGAGGGGCGGGTTGGAACTCAAGGCGACAGGTGGGAGGCCGAGGACGTGACACGTGGAAGAGTAATGATGAAGTTTGAAATTCAAATTTCAAATATGGAAGGTGAAAGGTTTTTGGGGGGAAACTGCAAAAATGAAAGGTCGGGCCCAACATTTGGGTTTCCACAGATGCAAATGGACGGGTCTAAATGGGAAACCTTATGATTCGAAAAATGATAGGTCAGAGGAGACTGGTCAGATCTAAAAGGACAGGTCATTGATGGCAGGTCAGCGACGGATCCAAAAAATGAAAGGTCAATGGGAATGACTTGGTGATTTCAAAGAAGGACAGGCCTTGAAAATGAAAGGCTTGATCATTCAAAGAAAGACAGGTCTTGAAAAGGAAAGGCTTGATCATTCAAAGAAGGACAGGTCTTGAAAATGAAATGCTTGATCATTCAAAGAAAGACAGGTCTTGAAAGGGAATGGCTTGACGATTTCAAATAAGGAAAGGTCATGGGAATGGCTTGACGATTTCAAATAAGGACAGGTCATGGGAATGGCTTGACGATTTCAAAAAAAAGGACAGGTCATGGGAATGACTTGATGATTGGAAAAAAAGGACAGGTCATGGGAATGACTTGATAATTCCAAAAGGACAGGTCATGTGAGGAACTTGGTGATTCAAAAGGACAGGTCATGAGAGAGACCTGGTGATTCAAAAGGACAGGTCATGAGAGAAGACTTGTTGAATTCAAAGGTGATGGGTTAACATAAGTATACTTACCGCCCTTGATGATTTCCTCACAAGGCCAGTAAGTGGAGGACTTCTTGATGGGTATATCCTTATACCCGACCCGGATAACCGAAAGGGACAGGTCAAAACATGACCGGTCACTTTTATCAAGATAGCCATTTCGCCACTTAATGTTGCGAAGGATATTCCAGAGGACCAAAGAGATGGGTTGAACTCAAAAATGACCGGGTAACCTTTGAGGAAAGGTGACCGGTCATGTTGCGCTACTTGAGAAGGGCAATCAACATCAGAGGCTAGAGGACACCCCACCGCTCATCCATCACGAGGCAAACAGTGAAGGGAATGATTGGCGTTTTGCAGGATTGATTGGATTGAGAATATCCATGTTAGTCTTTGATTGAACAGTGCATGTCTTGGCTTGTAGTTGCTATATTCATTGATTGAATAGTAAATTGATTATGTACAGTGACCTTCCTCCAGGTTTCCCATTTTGTCCATGGATGAACAGGGGAAGGTCACAAATCCTCCTCTATAAATATGATAATATTGGATAGAGGAGGGGATCAATTCTTTCTCTCACTAAAAACTAGTACACTCTTGAGACAGAGTAAGAAATATATTTCGGACTGAGGAGATTTACCCGGTCTAGGTCATACTTTGTGTTCTTGTTGTGTGTTTTATATTACGGGTCAAGTGTCCAGGTCAAACCCGGTCAACCCACCCATCTATATTT